ATTTCCATTCTGACCACGGCGCAATGTGGCTCGGGGGGACAGTCGCCATCGAGGCGCGTGCGGCAACAGGAAATTCGTGAGCCAGGGGGAATGTGGCCAATTCAGGGGGGTCGGGGGTGAGGGCAGTCACTTGACATGCGTGAGAAGCTAGAATGTTCGAGTAAACACTACTTCGCTAAGCCGCGAAGGCAACAGCCCCCCCCCCCGAGCCACATTGACCCCTGACCACTGCCCCAATCAATACTGTGATTCTCAGCCTCCTTCGAGCCCTCTGCGCAAAAACCGATATTTTCGATCGATATCGATCGATAGCACGCTCCCGAAGGGAATTTGCAATCAATAGTTGCTACACGCTACGAAGAGAAGCGAACCGAAAACTCTAAGAAAAACCGTAGATGGCTCCTTTTCTGCCATTCATCTTGTGTACAACTGTTTTTATTTCAATCAGCAATGTGGTAGCTGATAACGCTCGTCGGACCATCCGCACTTGTAAGAAGACAAGGGAAAAAACAATCATATGTGCAACAATTTACTATTGCATCGATTAGCTGGCAGTCATGACTGGCATGATGTAAGCAGAAATTCGCGTGCCGCACTCGTCCGGGCACAGTTCGCCGCCTAAGCCCGCCTCCTTCGGCGCTGTTAGACAGGGGGTTTTATATCGGGCCTCGTGGACACTTTCTTTCCGTTTTTTCTTCATGGTCGCTCCCTTTCACATCCATAAACTCACTTTCAAGCGCCAGAACACCCTAATTCAATCCCGACTTTTGCCTCTAAGGTCGCAAATTTACCTTTCAGGGATCGTCACTCCGGGTAGCCGACTTGGACAGCACTGCAGGCCGTGATGATGAAGATTTCATCCTAAAAAGATCACTGGAGAAGAGTAAGCATGAAATACCCACCGGTCGGAAATTTGGAAAGTGGAGGTAAGAAAAAGCTAGGGAAAGGGGTAGGTGATTACAGAAGAGACCTGTCATTGGTTCCTGAGGCACGAATGTCCTCCATGGCCCCGGTAGCACGGAGTCTTAGACGATTTTAGGAAAACGATACTGTTGTCAGGGTCGTCAAACCCAATCAATTATTGATTGGTGTTCATGAAATCGTTTATTACACAATGATAAGTAATTACAATCACAATATGTCAAGTAATATTCATACATTCGGTGTTGAGTCATATCGTATACGTTCTCACACTAGCATCTACGTTCTTCTTTTCATATTTACATGTATTCACAGACATAGTTACTCTTAGATACAACTAGATGAAATCTATAGCGAACCAACTGGAAACGGCTCGGCACCGTAGACGCGGGCGATCGCTTCCCATATTCCCAGCAAGTTTGGAGAGCTATGCTGGTCTGCTTACTCAATTTGTACTGCCTGTTTGTGTTTGGCTGATGTTGCCCTACTACAGAAATACAGTGGTCTGTAACAAGCTCGTAGTGAGGGTGGTCCTTACTGATTTTTCAAGGTGCGACTAAACGCGCTCAGAGTAGTTCTAAAATCACAGGAGCCTCCAATAGCCTACTAGGCGATAATTCGGCCGTGGCAAGGGCGCCTCGCAGCAGATGTTACAGTTACAGTCTACAAAGCAGGATGCACATAAGGTTACCATTATATTAGATATAATCATTGCTGTAATTCTACAATTGCACGTCGTCTCTGTGTACCTCAAAGCCTAGTGAGACACGGCCGCGCAAAATTGAATTGAATGATTACTCAACGTGCCATTTTTCTGAATTTGTGGCCCATTCAATTTACGGC